CCCCCGCACAACTGCCAATTGTGATGATCGCTGCTGCACCTGCTCTTGCACGCCCTTACTGGAGTGTTTCGCAGTGCCTTCAGTTGGTATGGTTGTGCCGCCGGGGCTGACGAGCGTGCCCTTACACCTTTCCAACGTGAGGTGTGTCAAACATGTCTCACATGCTTGCTGCACTTTTCCAACCATAATTCCGACCGCAGAGGCCCGCGCTGCTCCAGAGCTTCAGCTTGCTCCACGATGCAGTCAGCGCGGCCGCCCTCAGCTGCGCGCGCCAAGTGTGCGAATATATGCTGAGCCGGGTGCGTACGCCACTCTGTTTGTGGCCGCCGAAGCGCCGGCCGTAATGTAAAGCAGCGCCTGTGACCTGTGGGTGCCAACACTTTGCAGCAAGCAGCTGCTTGATTTATGCATCATGCCACGGCATATCCATCCACGCAGGGCATGACTTACGGATTTCTGACGTACCTCAACGGCACGTACTTCATCAAGCGCACGGGGCATCACCAGTACGCATTCACCAGAGCCATCATGTCCTTTGACAAGGAGCCCACTGTGCTAGAGATGCTGATGTGTGAGTATGGTTACAAGTGAATGGAGGACGGCCTAGCAATGTGGCTGAGCCGAATGAAGTTGACTGCACTCCCCTAACCCGCTGCCAGGACCACGAATGGGAATTGTTGGGTACAGACCGGTTTTTGCTCAGCACCCTGCAACACATGAAGTTGCCAACCTCTTTCATTTCAACGCGACTGTAGACACAACTGCATACATACCTGTTGCCCACAATATGCAGACACGGTTTTGAAGCAAACGGAGGTGGGCCCATGGCCAGGTGCCACAGAGGTTGCTGCCGTGCACCAGATAGTTCCTGCAGGTGCCCCGTCTAGCACCCCATCAGCCGGGGCTGCAGCCACCAGCCCCCAGCGGTATCACCTGCGCGCACAAGAGGCAGGCGCCGGCGGTGCCAGTGGCGGCCATCAGGCCGGCAGCCGCGAGCAGCCGCACGCCAAGTCGGCCCTGGAGTTCACCAACGAGCGCCTGGGGTGGGGCAAGAGCGGCTACGTCCTCCTCGGCAGGCGCGTGGCAAAGGGCTTGGTTGAACAGCAGCATGCAGACACCCGCAGCAAAGCAAAGGCTTTTAGTCACCTGTACTTGCGAGCACCTTTTTTTCCACTCTGGCACCAGGCCGCCTGTGTGCCTTGGCTGCAGCCAACGAGCCCAGTGTTGCCTCCACACTGATTGGACTTGTGAATTGTCCCACCTCTTGCCTTGCAGGTTCTACGGGCAGCCAGCTGCTATCAAGGCCATAGACGTGTCGAAGCAGGGCCACCTGCTGCCCAAGATGCAAGCGGAGGTGGCAATCTATGGTGGGAACGGTATCCAGGCTGCTGCTGCGCCATATGGTGTGTGTGTTGCGGCTGCTTCCCACACTAGTTTCTCCAGCAGGCGATGTCCAGCCTCCACTGATGCGTCGTCCTTGTACCTCAGCTTGTGCTTGCAACGGCTCTGTTGTCCCGTGCTGGTGCTGCCGTGCTGCCGTGCTGCAGCACTTTGATGTGCACAGGCAGCCCGTGCGTCACCTTCGGGGCCCCGACCCAAAACGTCCCCTCCCGGCCCAACCGACCGCCAAAAAATCCCCCCCTGGCCGGACCAACACTGCAGATCGCCTGAGGTCACTGCAGGGTGTGAGCATACCCATCTTGTATGGCTCTGGCTTCTGGAACTACGCGAACACCTACTTTGTGGCCACCTCTGTCATATCGGGCCAGCACCCAAGCCGCAGCACGTTTGGCGGGATCCAAGCCGCAGAGCAGGTGGGCAATCCGGGGGAAGGGGAGCAGCATGCCCACTGCAGCAGCGCTCACGCCGCGCGAGGCAGGCTGACGTGGGGCGCGGCGTCGCACCATGACCGTCGCGGCCCTTCCGAGGCGTTACCTTGCCCCTGGCGCGGACTAACAGGTTGCACCCCCCACCCTCTCGGCAGGCGCTGCGGGGCATCCACGCGTGCGGCGTCCTCCACGGGGACATCCGGGCGGAGAACGTCTTCGTGGCGGAGGAGGGCGGCCGCTGGAAGGTGAGGCGCTGCAGCCCCGAACGCAAGTTCAAGGGTTGCAGGAGTGTTCTACTGCGCAGCTACGACCCTTCCAGCGGAGCGCTGGACTCCTCACCCTCAAATGGCGAGGTGTAGCCCTTGTGCTCGTACACCCTCACGCTCCTCAACTTCTCTGTGCCGCCCACATCAGGCATGAATCCAGTAATGTTGCACACACACTTTTTAATCCTCCCTTTCTGGCTGCCGCCATCCCTATAATGTAGCTTGCATATTGACATGGACTGCCCCTGCGCTCAGGTGTGGCTGATCGACTTTGATTACAGCACAGAGTCGCGCGACCCAGGCGCCCAGGCCGCCGAGCTGGCAGAGCTGCAAGCACTGTTCCGGCCCTCTAACGCAGATACGAGCACCACCAGTGGTACGTGATTGGTACTCCTCGCCTCCAGCCTGGCTGCATGCATGAGAGCGCCACTACACCACGACTCAGGCGGCCGCTTCCTCTCCCCCCCCTGCTTTGCAGAGATGGCATGGGACTCGTAGGCACAGGGCGGGAACGGGTTGTGCGCAAACTTGGACAGACCGTCAGGTGGGCCTTTTTCCAGGTGTCCCGTTTGTTGGCCCGGTGTCCCGTTTGATGGCCTGAGACCTGAGAGCCATGCATATGGGTTCCGCAACTGCTTGACGGTTTAGGGTTCAGTGTCAAGCCGGGGGCGCAGGCGCTTGAGGAGCCGCAAGTTGCGGCGTGCCGAAGGACCGGGGCAGCGAATAGGGCCGGCGCCATGCCTGCCAGCCAGTTGAGTGCACGCATGCCTGCATGCTGTGGAGCACCTGTGCGCGGCAGCACCCGCGACCTGCAGCGACCGAGCTGCTGTGCCCGCCTGTCCACGGCATCTGCTACGTCACCCCGCAGGCTGCCACTGTGCACCACTCTCGAGTACCTACCGACCGCGGCCTCACACGGCGCAGCACCTCTGCCGGAAGGTTACAAGAAAGGTAAAGGTGGCGGCGCCAAGGTGACAAGGTTTCAATTGGGATACCCTGCAGCTCCAAGACACTTGTGGGCAGCCGCTCGTGGGTGCTCTGCCGCAAGAGAGGGTCATGTGCGTGCATGATTGTGCACAGCTGGTGGGGCAGGTGAAAATCGGCGCCCGTCTTGGCTACCCGTGGTTTGTCTTTCGGCAGGCCCATTCCTTGATCCATTTAAGATGCCGGCAAGTGGGGTATTGTAGCCTGCTGCACTTTCTCTTGTGCTCCATGGATGTGTCCCCTGATGACGGTCTATACACCTCTTTCGGCTGCCGCAGCTTGTGGCAGCGCTGCTTTGCAAACAACAAAGCTTGCTACAACACCCTCCTGGACGCCCCCCCCCCCAGCTACATGCAAAAACAGAACTGCAAGACCCCGAACTTGCGCTGTGTGCAGGCTCAAGAACGAGGATGGAGGACCTCTGAGGTTCAAGGACCTGGACGGCAAGGTGCTGTCGTTCAACACGGATGCACGGCCCTACAGAAGGTGCCTCGAGTTCCAAGCCCGATGTGCCTTCAATCAGGCCCTGGCTGAAGGCCGCCTCACATAGCAGCAGCAGCTGGCAGAGATCGCACCCCGCCTGGTGGCAGTAAGCCCTCAAGCGTCAAACTCGGCGGTGCGTAAGTGGGCGCAGATGTTGCTTGCTATAGTCCATCAATCAACCATTCAATTTCACGCCATCTACGGCAACGTGGCTGCCGCGTAAACAACATTTGTTGACTCTCCCTCATCAATTGCTGTAGCACCCTTAAGGGTGTTCACGTGTGCCCACCTGATCCCCCCGTTGCGAAATGGATTGTGGGGTGCACCCACCATCCATCCGCTTGCAATAAGCCAATGGTTTTACAACTGACCAAGCTGCATGCTGGGCTTTCTTGCAGATGTATTGGCAGAGCTTGCCAGACGAGGGCCCGGACCCCCCACGTGACCCAGCCCCAGTGGAGGACTTTACATACGAGCATGCCCCGGAGAATCTTCGCGATGAAGAGGATGGGTAGCAGCAGGTGCGCCTCTGATTTTCATAGCGCAACTTTAATAGCTGATGTCATGTGCCTGCTACATCATGCACTACCATGGGTGCAGCTGCGTGCACCTCACTGTGGCTGAGGTTGCTCACCTGAGAACCGGCCCGCTGAGCTCGCGCGCCTGGCAGTTTGGGGGGCCGTGCCTGTCTTCCCACGGGCTTCCGGGCCATGGCAGCGCTTGGGAGCAGCCACCTGTTGGTGGCGGCATGCCAGGGGTGCTGTACTGGGCACGTGCCGCAGGCATTTTGCGACCACATCGCATGCCCTGCAGCTGTATGCACAGTATGCAGCATAGGCTGACCTGTGTCCAGGTTGCCTCACCTTCACATGCTGACCCTGCTCACAAGCTGCTGCCGCACTTCCTCCCCCCCCCCCATTTCTCGTTCCCCATATGCTCTGCCTCCACTGCCTGTTGGCCTCACCTTGCCCCAGGCACGTGGCGCCTACAGCCATTTTGCACGTCCACCATCCTGTCCTCCCCGCTGTCCAGGGGCAACAGGAGCAGCAGCAGGTGAGGCATACATCATGCAAGCTGTGCTGCTGGGCGAGGGTTGGGTGCGGTGGAGTCAGCTCTGGCAGGTGTTCTTGGGCTGAGGGGAGAGGTGCTGTGGCCTGCAGGCGTTCTTGGCCTGAGGGGAGAGGGGCAGTGGCCAGGGCTACCCAAATGCAGGCGCTTCCAGCCGGGGGTGCCCCCTGCTTGGCCTGTCGTGTGGGGTGGGGTAGGGGGAGCGCTGTAGCATCAGACAGTGATGGTGCTGGAGATGGTGGTGGTTATCGGCTGGGTTGGATGGGCACGATCTGTAGGCGTGGCCCGGCTTCTTTAACTCCGGCAAGAAGGACTCTGGCAGCAAGCCCATGTCATTTGTAAGCCCGAATTCAATCATTTGAATTTAATCGCCCTTCGCGCTAGGGCATGTCGACACCAGCGGCACTGGTGGCGGCAGCATGTCGGCCAGCGCACTAATGCTGGGCTGCGTCTGATGCGCGCGGCTGCTGGGACCGCCCACCAACGACGCCCATTCGCGCACCAACCTGCAATATGCACTGCCGTTTACCTACCTATGCCACACCGTGGCCCC